TTTTGTATCATGCAAAATAACTCTTTTTGTTTTGAAAATTATGATCTGTACTCTATGCAATAGGAATAAAAAATAGAGAATTAAATAAAATAAACACTTAAATCACAAGTTGTTTAAAAACTGAATACAACAAATAACTTTTAAAAAACGGAAAAAAGAAAGGATGATAATTAAAAATCATAAAAATAATTTTTCTACTAGTACAAAATTATGCTTAGAATCAAGTTAATAGAAACTTTTATACATATAGCTTTTTCATTTTTATTTTACTTGTACTGAGCTTTTGCACTAACACTTCTGTCCGCCCCATGAGGCCAGTCAAGTTTTGTTAGTTCTGATACAATGAACGGTACTCCAGTATATGGCAATTCTTTGTCCTCATAACATCTTGTGTTTCTTTTTAATCAATTCTGGATAAAACAAAGAAAAAGTTATTTCAATGTTTCAGCCACGAAAAAGAAAAAAAGAAATTAAACATTGACAATGTTAAATGTCATTGTGACAATTTTGACACAGTTTAGCTGACACAGAATTATATATATTAGATAATCTAGAGCTTATTAAAGTATTTTGTTAACTTTCATTGAAGGTTAGCAAAATAATTTAATGGTGGCTTTAAAGTTCTTTTTCATACTTCCTTTGCAAGTTACAACTTAATTCAACGTAAACAACATTTCCTGCTGTTTAATTTTTGCACAAACATCTACATATGTGGCAAAAAAATACTTTTCAACAAGTAGAATTGTTTCTGAAAATAGTTTAATTCAAAATTGTAAATCTACACCTTTTCAAGATGTAATTGAGAAAACAAAAATTGTAATTAAGAATCGTAAGATGTAATTGAGAAAACAAAAGTTGTAATTAAGAAACGTAAGATGTAATTGAGAAAACGTAAGTTGTAATTAAGAAACATAAGATGTAATTTAGAAAACGAAAATTGTAATTAAGAATCGTAACATGTAATTGAGAAAATGTAAGTTGTAATTAAGAAATAGAAAGATGTAATTGAGAACACGAAAATTTTAATTTAGATATCGCTTTAAAGGAGTAAGTGTAAAATGGCGCTTAAAAAAAATGGCGCGTAAAAAAATGGAGCGTATAAAATGACGCACTTAAAAATGACGCAAGATTTGTAGCGTAAATTTAATTTTTTAGGGAAAAATTTAGGGAAAAATTTATAATTTTTGGGCAAATGAATTTAACATAATAAACACTAAAAACATTTTAGGGAAAAATTTATAATTCAATTAAAAATTATAATTAAAAATTATATAATTAAAAATCACTTCATTGATCATTTAAGCACCAACTTGTACGTCTTCTATATTTAAAATAGTTGCATAGTGCGTGGTTGTGTGTTGTACCGCACGTGCACAATCTCCTCCCATTATAGTATTTTTTGCCTCAATTACAATTCGTTCTAAGTACTGCATGCGCTGTTCCGCAATCCCGTCACCTAATACAGGTGGAATGCGAATTGCATTTTTAACGTTACTTTTAATTTTGGACCAGATCGTTTCCACCGGGTTCAACATTGGACTGTAAGGTCCCAAACGTAACAACTGAGCTGGTGAATTATCAAACACCCTTTGTAAACGAGCGTGACAAGGAGCATTATCTGTTACGACGATCAAATCCTCCAAACGATTCCCGGATGTAACCCACTGGTGAAACATAGCCAACATCCACTCGTTACAGGAAGCTGCTTTAAATGATCCCCTGCGAGTTTCTATCATGACGACATTTGTAGTTGAAATAGCTGCGATCAAGTGTATGTTTAAACCTTTTGAAGCAGGTACTTTCATAATTGCTCTTTTTCCTTGTCTCGCGCGTCCTTGTATTTTTCTACAAAAAAGATTAAAATTTGTTTCATCCAACCAAACTATCTGACGACCATTTGTGATATGTTCATTGATGTTTCTAACATATTCAGCTCCTTTTTTTGTTTGTTTTCATAACTGTTCATTGTAGAAGGCTCCTTGTGCACTTTTTTTAATGAGAACAATCTGCCTTCGAGGTAATTTGCTATTGTTGTTGTGCTAACGTTTATGTTAAATTGTCTTAATATCTTTGTTTTGATGGCCACCAATGTTAATTGACAATCATTTTCAATCCATGTTAATGTTTCTTCGATTTGATCTTCGGTCAACTTTTTCGGTTTAAAACCTCCTTTTCCGATGAAATTTGAATTTCCGCTGCGAACCCAATTGTATGCTGTCTTATATTTGATACCTAGCGTTTGCGTGAGATTCACCCAATCTTCAAATCGCTCCGCACATTCAACAACTCTTCTCCTGTCATTTGGAGAAGATAAAATGTAACGTTTCCTTTCAACTTGTTCAGTTGTGTGTATTTCATGCCGACAAATCGGACAACTTGAATCTGGTTGTTCCAGAACTGGACGTAAACAAATTTGGTGACATAAATGTTGACACGGATTTAGCTTAATCACAGACTTTCGGGTCATAGTGTATTGGCATATAACACAACGATCTTTCAATTCCATTATTATTACTTGTGCATACAAAAGCGAAATTTAAGATTATAACTTAAATTCATGTCCAAAAAGACCTTTTGTAACAACCCACAAACTTAGACTGTGAATTTGCTATTTTAATTTATGTGTTCTCAATTACAAGTTACGATTTCTCAATTACATATTATGATTTCTCAATTATACCTTACGTTTTCTCAATTACATGTTGTGTTTCTTAATTACATGTTACGACTTCTTATTTACATGTTGTGTTTCTCAATTACATATAACGTTTTCTCAATTACATGTTGTGTTTCTTAATTACATATTACGACTTCTTAATTACAACTTTCATGTTCTCATTTACATCTTGAAAAGGTGTAGTACTCTAAGTACAAGTTTTTGCTGATAAATTTGTACTCTCTTAGTACAAAGAATCATGTCAGATAATAGCAAATCTTACCCTTTGAATGTTCTAAATTGAGATTAAATACACGTATATATTTATATGAATATTAGCTGGTAATAATTATATATATATATATATTATATATATATATATATATATATATATATATATATATATATATATATATATATATATATATATATATATATATATATATATATATATATATACAGGGGTGGGACCGCAAAATCTGAACGTTTTTGTTTTATTATAACTATTTTCTCGTTAGATGTAGTTGTACTCTCTCACTCATCAGAAAGTGTCTAAAGAGTTGTTAAATATGAACTATTTTAAATAAGAATGTCCAACCATTGGACATTCTTATTTAAAATAGTTCATATTTAACAGAAAATTAATTATTACAATCAGAAAAGTGTTCACATTTTGCGGTCCCACCCCTGTATATATATATATATATATATATATATATATATATATATATATATATATATATATATATATATATATATATATATATATATATATATATATATATATATATATATATATATATATATATATATTAAACAAGCAACACGAGGTTGAAAGATCTTATCATAACAATAAACCTTTATAATAATAAACGTTAATATCGTTCAAAATCAATTAAATAGTGCGCATGCGTATACTATACAAAAATGTTATTCGAGTCTGCGATATTAATAAAAATCGGAAATATTAGAATAAAAGACATTAAATAACAGTTACCGACCTAACATTTATTGCAAAAAATTAACTCAAATATATATATATATATATATATATATATATATATATATATATATATATATATATATATATATATATATATATATATATATATATATATATATATATATATATATATATATATATATATATATATATATATATATAAAGCTTAAGCAAATGAAGTTATACTAAAGGTTCCTTGTGTTTAATAGATCGGATAAAATATTTATGCTATCTATTAAACACAAAGAACTTTTAATAATATAACTTTGTTTGCTTAATCTTTAATACTATCAAAAACAATATATTTCAATTGATTTTAATTTTGATTGACAATATATACCAATCGATATTAAAATTAATCCAACATAAATTAATTGTCAGTATATTATAAATATTTATTTACTACATTACTTGTCTCCTATATTTTTTAAATTTTTAAAACGTTGTTTATTGGTTCACTCAGAAATACGTCATTTTCACAAAAAATAGTTTTCACGGAAATTAATTTTATCGTAAATTATATTTTCGCGAAAATATAATTTACGATATTCTTTTACCATACAACATAATACTATATTGCATATTATTTCATACAATGTCATATAATATTTCAGATTACATTATCTTATTATCATTGATTATTATATGTAAATACTACACTATCTTAATGTAATGTAATGTAAGATTTAATTTAACTTAATAATAACCTAATGTAAGATTACAACTTTGTTCTATAAATGATTTATTAATCAAAAATAAAGTTAATATTTTGTAGTGTTAATTTAGATAGTCATATCTTCGGAAAGTAATAATATTTTTTGTTGAAATTTGAAATCTATCAATGAATTTTAATTTTGTTAATGATAGCATTAAAAAAAAAAGTAATATGGTGGACAAAGGGAGATGGAAAACTTGTTCCGACCCCCTTTTGAAATTGATTTTTTAACTGACACGTATACTAAACAATTCGTTCTTTTTATAAATTTCTCTGCTCGATACTTGAATAAATAATAAAACTTTATTTTAGGTTTAATAGCCACATCAATATGTACATGTATATAATACCTATATGTAAACAAGTAAAAACATAAAATTAAAATTAAACAAAATATATTTTAGATATATAAAAATATAAAATAATCATATTACAAAAAGTAACAAACCATTATTTTATACTTTTCTTTTTATTGCTTTTTGATGGGCAAATGTGTTAATAGTATCATTAAAATCTAATTTTTCAACCAATTCTGCTTCCATGGTAAATATTGCTAATGCATTCAGTCTTTCCTCCTTCATGGTTGACCTCAAGTAGGATTTTACTCTTTTAAGTACAGAAAAAGCTCATTCGCCTAAGCATTTTGAAACTGCTGTACTAAGGTACATACGCATAACTATTTCTAAATTTGGAAACATACACTCTAATTCTTTGGTCTTGATGTACTTATACATAGAGAGAACAGATTTTACATTTTTATCCGTGGAAATTAATTTTGAAAAAAGAATACACTCATTTATAAGTAAGCTTGAGTTTTCAAAATCATCAATAAAATATTTTGGCAAAATTTCACATGTGTTTCTTACAACAATAGAACTCGGTGTTTTATACAATTTGGGCATACACCCATAAATATCTGATATTTTTTCATAAGTTTGTCTTCTCGAACTAAGTTGACATTTAAGAGTATCAATGATCACATAATATACATTTCTAATAAAATCTATTTTCCCTGTGATTTCTGTGAGAGGTTGAGATCTTGATTCATCAGTCATAGCCTAAAAAAAAATAGTTTTTAATGTTGTTAATGTTTATGACTTTTTATTTCTACAGACTTATTTTCAAAAACATTAAAAATATCTCTGGTCTGTACCAAGTAATTTTCAAGGCCATTATATAGGTCTAATACTGTATGAAGATCAATGTTTTGTTGCATTAAAACTAAAATCATATTAAATTTTATATTAATTAATTTATCTATTAAGCTGACCCTAATAAAATAAAATAAATGAAAACATAATTTATTATTTAAAAACAATTAATTTATAGAGTGAAAAATACCTGTTTAATATTGAATTCCAGATGCATATCATTAAACCAGTTTCTAAAGTTTTTGATCTTGCAAGCAACCCATTAGCTTCTTCTTTATATACAGCTTTTTCTTTCTGATTATTAACTATACTATGCAAAGCTTCAATTATAAATGCAAAAGAATTAAATAAAGCATGGCAAGCATCAAAACGAGCACTCCAGCGAGTTACTGATAAATTTTTTACACTAAGATTTTTCTTCAAATATGTTTTTAAAATGTCCCAACGTGCAGTAGAACTAGAAAAAATTGTAGAAAAGAGAAAATAGTTCCTGGAGAAGCATAAAAATGAAGTAGCAGAATTACAAATTTCTGCTGCATACGTTCCGACCAATACTCTGCAAATAAATTAAACCTTTTAATTCTTGATTGCAATCCAGAATACTGACCTGACATATTCCTCGCATTGTCGTAGCTCTGGCCACGATAATTTTCAATTGTTATATTGTGTGAATTAAGAAAATCGATCACAACATTGCTCATTTCTTCAGATTTATGACCACTGTTTGGAATGAATATTAAAAATCTTTCTGCAGGTACACCACAAGGTAAAACATATCTTAATGCAATAACAAGTTGATCGACGTTTGCTATATCAGGTGTAGAATCAACAATTAAAGAATAATACTTGGCTGCTTTTAATTCTTTTAATATAATTTTAATTATATCATTCTTCATCAAAAGTAAAAGTTCTTCATAGATTGTAGATGATAAATAAGACGGATTTCCTTTCCCTCTATTACCATACTTTTCTATATGTTGAGCAATAAAAGGGTCAAATTTAGCAAGTAACTCAACGTTCCCAAAAAGTTCCCATTGTTAATTTTGTTAAATTGTTCATTATCACCTCTGAATGATAAAGCTTTTGCACCGAGAATATTAATTACTTCAACAACTCGATGAAGAACAGCTTTCCAGTAATTCATTTAATCAGACATTTGTGTTGCCAATTGAGTGTCAATTCTACCTACATCACTTTGTAATGTAATAAAACTTAGTATATTATTTTTATGTGCCAAAGAATTTTCGTGCCTGGAAATAACAAAATGTCCATTTTTCCAATCATAAATCCAGCATCTCCCAGTTGAGTACTGCATCCAAATAATTTGCATGGAGCACAAAATAATATAAATTTTGAAATTGAATAAACAAGTCATTTCCGTGAAACATTTTCTCCGTTTTTTCGATTTTTCGTAAAGATTGATTTACTACAATAACGATCATAATCAGAATAAGTTCGTTTTGATGAGGTAAAATCTGCATCAATGTTCTGATCATATCCAAATTTTGCAATATAATTACGACATATATTACTATTTGTCCAATCTGCTGGATCTTTAAAATTATTTGTATTATTCTGCGTAAGAGGATTAGGGATGACATTTAGCTCAGATTTTTCTGATTCCTCATTTACATCAACAACTGATTGATCTGAAGAAGACGCAGTACATTGAATAGAAGTAGAAGTAGTAGAACAATTATTAGTAATAGTTATATCATTTGAAGGTTCTATTTATTTGTTTGAAAAAATTATTTAACCTAGGTATTTTACGAAGTAAAATCACTTCTTTTTCTTTTTTATCAATTGCACGCTTTCTCGCTTGTGCTCCACTAATATGTCGTTTCTGATCCATTTTTACATAAATATCGAACACTAAACTATATATAAAACGCACTACTCGCACAAAAGTAAAATCTTTATAAAAAATTTACAAGTTACAATAGTGTTAAGAAAACATACGTACGATAAAACGGACGAATTTTCAATGCACGTGACGCGTGTATACGAAATACTAATACTATTTAATATTTTATACTTTTTTACCCAATTTATGACCATCAGCGGCGAGCTACGACAAATATAAATAAGTAAACGCACTGGCATTGTCTATCGTCTGCGGCTCCACATACGTTATTGGTGTGCGAACGGTTCTACGGAAAAATAACAATCTAAAAATAAAACGAAGTTTAGAAGACCGCACGACAAAACGCATTGATTATTACTATTTCAAATCCGATATTATTTTAAACAAAAACAACATCAGGATAGTATTGTGCTTATTGTCAATAATTATTTTACAGATTTTACAAATTTTCAAGTTTAAAAAAAAATAAATAAAAGATAGTATGTAGTGCCCGTGCCCCTAAATCCGTGGTTGTGTAGGCTGAAGCCTATACTGCTTACGCCTTAATCCGGGCCTGGATATTAGATATTACCACCAATACCCACCAATAATAGATATTATCACCAATACCCACCGATATTAGATATTACCACCAATACCCACCGATATTAGATATTACCACCAACACTTACCGATATTTGATATTACCACCAATACCCACCGATATTAGATTATACCACCAATACCCACCGATATTAGGAAAACCTATATTCATTTTTTTAATGCATATGTATTTTACAACCACAATGTAACAAGTAACCATTTCAAAATAACACATTGATGATATAGATGTATATATAAAAAAAAAGTTGTAAGCATAAAGTTCAAAATATACAAAATATCCAAGAAACAATCATATACAACTTCAATACAACTTTAATATACATTGAAATAAATATAAAAAGAATTGTCATATACAACTTCAATATATAATGAAATAAATATAAAAAGAGGATACGACAGTTGTTTAACATAAACAAATAAAGTTTCAATAAATATATCTCTATATTGTTTATTAATATTACAATTAAACTAATTTATAATATCAAATATTTGCATTATGTGATATGTTTCAATAATTATTAATTTAAAAGAAGAAAAAAAAAAGCAATATTGGAATTACCTATACGTAATCATATTTTAAAGTTAAATATAGGTGTTAAAATTGCGAGATATTTGAACATAGTTATTTTTGCTCGTAGTATTAAAGGTTGGTACAGAAAATGTATATTATGCAATAACCATCACCTAATCTGATATATGAATATCATACTTGTCTTCCTCATTTAATAAATGTTTTCTTTAATTTAATATAAGAAGATAACCGTTGGCTTCGCCACGTTGCGATAAAAAAAAAAGACTTGTATTGTATTATATTTGTAATTTATAACGGAGGAATTTTTATTGAAAAATGTTGTTTTTTTAACGGTTACTCTAATTTTCCGTTATGAACGGCCATTCTTAAACTCCATTATGCTGGTCACGAATCAGACACCAATAAAACGTGTACTTTACTGGAGGTCTTTTTGTTTCTTAATATTAAAGTTGGGTTTGTTGAAATAAGTGCAATTGATGGGTTCGCTATTCCCGTGCAAGGATTAAGAAAAGAAATAAAAATCTAGGCTCTTTTTTGAGCATAAATAGTGAATAATTTTGTTATACGAGTTCTTCCCAAGATTAAGGCCTAACGCCATATGAACAAAATGACCCATTTGTGTATTTCTTTTTTTTTTTACAATGTTGTATTCTTTTATTTTAAAGTAAACTTGTAATAACTGGTAATTCTTGTTACTCTAGAAGGACTTTTCCATTTTTTTAAAATCGTTATACCAATTACACAGCCTATATATACCAATTACACAGCTTTATAAAAAAAAAGTATTAAATTTTTTTACAAGTTGATTTTAAGGCTTTAAAGTACTCATATAAGTTATAAATTTATGAAACCGTTGCTTAAAATTCATTTAAAATTTTTTTAAAACGTTTTCTACAACATATAATACGTTCTACTACATATAATACGTTTTTTATATAAAAAAATATTTCTAATTGTAATTTTTTGCTATCAAAAATTCAAAACATTAATATACTTTTACTATTTCTAAAACATTTTCTTTCTAATTTCAAAACATATAAAATAGCATTTTATATTTTAACATATAAAAAACAGCATTTTTAGGTAGGCTTTAAATTCAGTAAATCATTAAACTATGAGATTACAGCCACATGAGTAAATACATGCCTAATTTTTTATTATTATTATTTTCTTAATCACCTACTGTAAAATATTTTTACAAGGTAAAAGTACACACAATAATAAATGTTTAAACTGAATATAAGAAAATAAATTATTTTGGAATGTTTTCTTCTAGAGTTTGCTTGAAAATATTTCTCTGTTATTTTATGTTCAACCAATCTTATGAGTAATGAGTATATACTAATGCAAAAACTTAATAAAAATTGTAACTTTTAATCTGAATTTTACAAAATACAAGCGTATACATTAATCGAAGACTGAAACAATTACTTCATTTTTTTTCAAAATCTTTTGTTTGTAAATCATAGAAATATTGGCAATTAAAAACCTCGTTTTAAATAAAACTCGTTCTCATTTCAACGGTTCAAAAGCAATGCAAGATAAGGTTTATTTCAGATTTCACGCAATTGATTCAATCAACTGATTAGTACAATGAACTTCAATCATCAGTAGAAACCAGTTAGTTAAAATAACTGTCTAAATTTTTGAAAAAACGAAACGACATTAATTTTAGAAGTTCAAGTCGCAAAAATAAAGTTTGATAAAACGAAAAGATATAATCACATTAACTCTTCGAAAGAATGCTAACTTTAAACTAATAAAATGTTTTACTAAAAATTTTTAATTAATAAAAAAGGTATTTAAAAAATTTAAAAATTTTTATTGAAAATATCTACAAACAGCATTTTTAGTCTTTTTGTTTTGTTTTGCTGACATAATTAAATAGCACGATCAAAATTTCTCAAAAGTTTCCATTGCGACTTAAATACTTTTAACACATTGTACACTAATATTACAAATGAATTTACTTTTAATAAATATCACCCGAAAAAAATCTTCATTAAGATCAGACTTTTTGACAAATAAAGGAACGCCAACAACACCATTCATTTCATGGACCGGATTAATAGTTGAAAGTTTTTATCAGTGGATTTATAGTTGAAAGTTTTTATCAGTGGTAAACGACTATTTAATACCATGTTCTGGATTTTTCTCTCACAAATGGTTAGGAAGTTTAGGCATTGAAAGGTCTCAAGAAAAACTAAATATTCCATTTAATTTTTCTAAAGTCCTTTCAACAGCAATAAACTTTTTATTGAATTCATTAACAAGTATTTGCCTAATATTGTTTTCTTTTAAATCATTACCATGCCAAAATAGTGCTTGTAAAATACTCGCAATTTCATCTGTACATTTTTAATTCGTTCATCTTTTTATCATGCTTTTGAACTCCAATTTTGACGACGTGGATTAAAATTCTTTTAATGTTGTTTCAATTTAACTTGAGTCAAAAACATTTACTGCAAAAAAACCATCAATAAAAATCATCAATAAGCTGTTGTGAAAACTGAGATGAGATATAAAGTAGTCTTAAACTGAGCTGGCTAAACTAAAAAATACAAAAATTAAAATATGTAATAATTTGTGTATCCAGTTAATAAGCTTGTATGTCATCACATTTCGTTAGCCGAGAACCAAGAGGCCGTAGGTCCATTTTTTGTGTTTCCGAGAAAATTAAGTTTTAAAATTTAACTTGAAAAGACTTTCTGCCAGATTGTCCGACTAACTTTTTAATATATTTTAAAAAGTTGTATCATTTTTTGAGATTTATCGGACACATTACCCAATTGAGTATTTATATATTCGGCTTTTTGGTTCTTGGCTGAAGATTTGTCTAATGATAATTTACTACTTTCAAATGTTTGTATTAATTTTATGAACAATCAAATAATAAAGATTAATTTTTATAAAATATAATTAAGTTATAATAATTTAATAAAGTTGTATTTTAAACAAATAACTTTTTCTACATATTAATTCAATAAATTCAATTCTTCAAAATAAATATAGATTTTTAATTTATTATTTAGTCATATAAAAGGTTATAAATGATAATTGCCTACTGTGATTCATAAGCTTGATGCCCAAACGAAAACATATTGGATTACATGAACGGAGTATGCAGCAGTAACATAGCACATAG